TCCCAGGACGAACGAACGAGCGAAGGATGCCGAGGGGGCTCGCGAGTCCGATAAGGATCGCGGCAATTAGCGCGCGCAGCAGCCGGATCGCGGCAAGTGGCGCATCCCCAGTAGCCAGATTCCGGAGTCTCGTGGCGCTACCCGGAACCGGCCGACGGAGCCCTGATTGCGATTCGTTCATTTGCTTTCGCGCGAGTCTGTCGAGGGCGGCTTTCTTTCCCAAAATTCGCGATTCGCTGCCGCGGCGGCCCGTCGCGAGACTTATCGAGGCGAGGCCATATACGCCGCCGAGTCCTCGTTCTCTTCCCCCCCCCCCCCCGTTTTTTTCCTTTCCTAATCATTCGCGGACTCGATGCCCGACACAACAAGAAGCAAATGCCGGCGGCCGGCGCGTCGACTCTCGCGAGCGGAGCTCGCGCAGCAGCTTGCTCCCGAACTCGTTTCGGCGGAGCCCACGAGCGAAGCGACCGCGCATTCGACGAAACAATCAAACGCAGCGCCTACTCGGCCGACAGTTTTACGAGCAATATATATCGCGCGGCTCGCGAGAGCTTTCGGTGGACCGTATAACGGGTTAATCGACGCAGCAGCCGCCAACTGAAATACATCCATTCGCCGGTATACGCAGCACTCGCAGCATACTTACAGCGAGATACGAAGCCGCCGAGGATCGCGCGAGCGCGCTAAATTTCATGCCAATTCGAAGCTGCGAACGTGCAAAATGCTCTCTTTCACTCGGCTCCCTGGCCACCGGGCAAACAAAGCTATACGAGCTAGTAGCTGTTGCATACGTTCGCTGCGTTTCTTCGAATCTTTTGTTTGACTTGATTGACGACTACCAGAATGCATAATGCTCGCGCGTCTCGAGAGCTTTTTCATATTAGTATGCGATTCGCGCGCAAGCTCGGCTTTGTTGCCTGTCCTCTGAGCTCTCCGAACGTGCATTCGAACAGACTGGTGTACTTGCCAACGACGATTGCTTTCTGCTTACGGCCACCGCGAGCTGACTCGATCTACACGTGCTTGGCGCACGACGCGCGGACAGGCCCCTGGTTTCCGTGGTACATCGAAAGTTGCGAAAAAGTCGGCCAATATTACAGCCGCGCAAAGTTTATCGATGAGGCCAACGACAACGACGAGTAGCTTGCATCGTTTTACCCGGCATCACGGTCATTCTTGCGGAACGACTCCGAGTGGAGTGACGTAAATCTCCAACGAATGGAGATTCCGAAGAGTCTTCGAGGGCAATCGAAGACGCCCAGGTGCAGAGAGTACAGGTTGATACAGGCGGCAATGTGCCGTAGGAAGGCGGGTTTTCGCGGTTAATTGGCGCTGCCGTAAAAGCAAGCGAGGCGGCGGCGGTGGCGGCGACGCGGGTAGATAGGCGATAAATTGCAAAACTAAAACGATTTCCGAATGGTTTCTTGGTCGGGGTCGCAAGCGAGAAGAAAAAAGTGAGAAATCAGCGTCAGGCGCGAGCCAGCCGGTTTGCAAATGTGCAGTTTACGCCGAGTCGTCCCGCTAACGACGCACTTTGTCGGGGCCCCGCGTGCAGCTGCACAGGAGAGAATTATTTAAGACGCGGTCGTGCTGCTCTCGGCGCGCGCGCGAGATATAGAGGTATCGAGCTGAACTGCAGGCCTCCGCGCGCGTACGCGAGCAAGAAACGCCAAGTCCGATGTTTTCAGGACACGCAGTCTCGACTCTTCTTACTTACGTAATCGGCGCGCTCTATTCGAGTGCGGATCGCCTGAGAAACGCCGTGCAAACGCTTCACGAGGCTCGTTCGGATATGACCCATTGACTTGGCTGCGTCTTGCCAATCGATAGTCCCTGTGCGTTGCTCACAGTATCCTCGAAACCGGCCTCTACTACGATTTCTATTTCGGGGCTTATCAAAAGCCCATTAATCACCATTGTAAAAGTCGAGGCTATTCCATCAATGGTACACCAATTCATCACCCGAGCGCTTAGATTAATGAAGCCTGCGATTGGAATATCGAGCAAACAAACAACTCGGACGAAGGCGTTCGAAGCGGCGGCCGAAAATGCGAGCGTCAACGACGTTAGACGTTCATCTTATCGGACGCGCCACTCGTTGCGGTCGGGCTTCTGCGCGCCGGCATCGAATTCGAAAATTAAATTTCCAAACGGATAATTTAGTGGCGACGACGACATATTCGCACGCGAATTAATCGCCGCGCGCACGAGCGACCTCATTCCTGGATTTATCGGGCAGCGAAATCGGATAGCGCGAAATTACAGCTGAATTATTAGGTCGCTGAAAATTGAAAGCGTCGAATCTCCGAGCTCAATAGACTGCAAGAGAGGGCGAAAGAAGCTGGAAGATACAGCAGGCAATCGAGTCGAGTCGAGCGAGCGAGCGAGAGAGAGAGAGAGAGCGTCGCCCGAATAATCGAAGCAAAAGAAAGAAGCCGAGCGTCGAGAGCCACCGCTTCACCGCCGCAAACAGCTATTCGAGAGCCAATACAAGACACGAGACTCCCATCGACGTTCCAATTGACGCGGGCTAATCGGCGCGATGCGCCAATCATTTCGATTAGCGTTTAACGCGAGCGTTGATTCGTCGCGCGCATCGTCGACTCCGAACGGCTTTGACGAAGCTCCGCAGCGGTCTTCGTTATTCACGAGCGGGCCGCTGCTGCTGTCCGCAGGTTGCCGCGCGAACGCGTTTTCGGGCGAGCGGATCCGGCCGGCGAATCGTCTCGACGACAGGGTCGATCGCTCGGGAATAAAGGCGACCTCGCGGCGACGAGAAGGTCGACGACACCTTGGCAGCAGCCGACGGGTTTGCCCAGTGTCAAGATCCTTTGACGCGCGCCCACGCGGCAGAAAAACAATCGCCGCAGCCGCGCTCGCGTTGTTGCGTAACGAGCGAGCTTCCTATCTGCCGCGGGCCCGACTCTCTATTTAGCGCTTCGCTCGGCCGCGGTGAGAAACCTCTCGACCAACTCTCGTGCCAACTTTTCGTTTCGCCTAATTACATTTTCATCGGCAATTAGCTTACTCAATTATTGATTTAGCGGCCTGACAAGCGCCGATCCTCGTTTAACGAACATCCAACATCGCGTTTTAGACCTCGGTGGCAAGGTCGCGTGCAATTCAAAAGGCATTCGATTAATCTCCAAGCATCAAAGTCAACCTAGACGCTATTGAAATTGGCAGTCGCCTGGCGAAGATGGCTGCGTAGATAGGCGAAGGTACATTGAAAGCACAGACAGATGACGAGGTTTTCGAGAATAGCAAGTCGAGCATTTCGAACATTCACGCAAAACACGCTAGTCTTGCTTTGCGTCGCCTTGACGAAGCATTATTTTCTCAACTTTTCAAAATACAAACAACGCACTTATCTGCCGGGAATCGTCTCGCGAAAATACAAAATACTGATGGAGTACGGTCGTCAAGTTGCTAATGTACTTTCGTCATATGACGCGGCCATCTTTGCCACGTGATCGGCGATCCGAACGGCCGAGCAAATCGATTCGTTTCAAATGGAAAGCCGAAAGAACAAAAGGCCGATGAAGGTGTCGGCTATAGCGCCGACACTACATCACCATTAAGTGTCGGTCGACGACGGTGTCTAATTGACAAGAAGTTGGAGAGCGAGCGCGCGAATATAATTGCTCCGACGAACGCTTCATCGCTCCGTCCTTTCCTCCTTCCTTCCGCTGCCACGGATTCTCCATTCATCTTTTTTCGAGAGCGCAAATCTGCCATTTTTCAAAGGCTATACCTGCGTACACCCGAACTCGACTGTTTTTTTTTTTTTAATTTTTCGTCGGCTTCCACGTTCGTGAGTTTTTACGAGTGATTTTTCTACAAACGCAGCGCTGCATATCCCGACCCGACCGCTCGCTGATGGATTGTATTTTTTTTCGTTAAATGTTGCGGCAGATTATCGATTATCCGCGAGTATCAAGCTCGTCGGCATTCCAAAACTCGGTTGTAAATAGCGTTCGTGTCATACTAGATTTTCGCGTTTATTTTTCTTTTTCGACAGAGTTACACGAACCGAAGGCAAGGAATAAACCGATAAAGTGGACGAGACTTAATAGCGGAAAAGTAATTGGATGCAAAAGGCAAGAGATGAAGAAAGGAAGGAAGGAAGGAAGGAAGGAAGGAAGGAAGGAAGGAAACAGCGAAATGGGCTTAGCGTTCACAAGTGCAACGAGTGCGAACGCATTTCACGCTTTTCAATTAAAACCGGGACGCACTGCTCGACGGCCGACTGCGATTAGATTCCATATCGCACGAACGCAACGCAACTCAATCCCCGTTATTCTCATTTAGCGTCGAGCCGCGAAAACGAAGCGGCCGAGTGTTTTGCAGAGTCGCTGTTAGCTATTTCGAAAATAGGCGATAAAAGCTCCGGGGGACGAGCTTAACCAGCTGACTCGGGGTTCTCGCTTTTCAACGGGCAAATCCCCAATAATAATCAGTTTAATCCGAGAAGCGGATATGCTCGTGTCCGCGTGCGGCAAACCTGGCGAGCCGTTTGACGCATCTCCGTCGGCGGCAGCGCGTACGGCTTTTGCAAAATTGAATGTCGCGCACAGCCGCGCGCACGAAAAACCTGCGAATTGCCTATCGGTCTCATTGCGCAACGTAATCCAATTAGCGCGCGACATTGTATATTCCCGGGGCAATTAAACGACGCTTCCGGGGAGCCAAAGCTTCGTCCGAGCGCTCTCGTGACACATCCAGCGCAACGGAGAAATTCATTGACGTCAGAACGAGAGAGTAGTACGCGCTGTTGCGCAAGTCGCGCCGTATAAGCGCGCAGAAGCGTGTCAATGTTAATCCAGATTACGCCCATTATCAAATCAATAAGCCGGCGAATGCGCGGGCGACGGACTGCTCGGGGGGGGAGGAGGGCCTTTGCGCGATCGAAGCTGCGCTCTCGCACTCGGCGCGAATATCGTCAACACAGTCATCTTGAAATCGCGGCTGCGCTGGGGTCTCAACTTAATCAACGATACCTTTGAGCAAATAAGCGGCGAGCATGATGTCCTTGAGCTGCTGCAGGTAGAGACCGCCGAGTGCCTCGGCGTGGCTGTTGGCAGTCAAGTTGAGCGGCTGTCCCAGCTGCTGAAGCGCCTCGAGCTGGCAGACGCCCTTGCCCTCGGTGGCTTTGCCCTCGCCGCCGGCGCCGAACAGATCGCAGCTCTTGCACTTCTTGTTCTTCGTCATCTCGCGATTGTCGCAATGAGCAACCAAAAAATATATCTATCTATCTATCTGTTTATCTATCTGCATGTATATTTGTCTGCTCTGTTTTCACTGCGCTAGCTTAAGACCGCTGTTTTCTTGCGCATTCACTGCAGGCACGTATACGCACACTGTTTTCTCATCACAAAACACGCGCGCACTTTTTACCTACTTCCTTTATTATTTTCTATTTATCACAAGGCTTAGCTTTGGAACTTTCTTGACGTTTCGGTGCAGTGCAGCAGTGGAAGCTGCAGCGCCGAGCGGCTTTGTTCAATTGGAAAACTTGCGGCTTTTGATAACTCAACAGTGGGAGCAAAGTTTCGGCGTTGGCTATTTAAGTTTGCGTCCAGGGATATTAGCAGTGCGGGCACAGGCAGCTTGACGCAGCCGGATCAGCGCCGAAGATTGCCTGGGCTAGGTGCAACGAGCTGCTTCATCGGCGATAACAATCGGCGTCTCTTCGCACTCGGCAACTTTGCTGGGTGCGCGCCCGGCCTCCTCGTCGTCTTCCTCCTCCTCCTCCTCCTCCTCCTCCTCCTCCTCGTCCTCCTCGTCCTCGCAGTCGTCGGCTTCGCTCGTCCTCGCGGCGGCGACGCCAGGCATCGCTTTCTTTCTCCCTCTATCCCTGGCTTATTCGGCCGCGTCGCACCACTCCGCAGCAGCAGACAGATCTATTGTTTCACGGGTAATTAGTCGCTTGTCGATCCTACGCTTAAGCGCAAAGCGCTCTCGGGCCAATTGCAGCCCTCCAACGCTACACAAGTAAGTAGCTACTTGTGCTCTACCGTTCGATTGCCCTTCCCAGCTGTACTCGCGGCTCGATTTACTCTCCACTTGGAAAATCAAACAGCCGCGAAGAACGGAACTGCGGCCAACTTCGGTTGCCAGCGGAAAGCGAACCGAAAACGCGCCAGAGTGCAACTCGGCCGTTCGCGCACGAGCACTTGCCGCGGGTTTTCCGAGATTCGACGGCTCCTCGGCGACCGGCGCGCGCGGAAAAACAGATCGTGTCGCCCGAAAGTTTTGCATCGAGTGACGGAAGCGCCGGGCTCGCTGAGAAACAGAATCGCGTGCTCGACCTCGGCGGCTGCAATGAAAAAAAATAAGAAAAAAGCTCGATCGCGCTCGCGTGCTTTTCGCGTCGTTCTAACCGGTTCGCTTTGACGCGTAGCTTTCTTCCGAGCGCACGCGGCTGACCCAGTTGGCAGGCAGGCTCCTAATCAATAGCCAGTGCTCGCGGCTAAGGAAAGAGCGAGAGAGAGAGAGAGAGAGAGAGAGAGAGAGAGAGAGAGAGAGAGAGAGAGAGAGAGCAGGCAAGCCAATGTCTGTCCTTGCCTCCAGTAGGATCTCTCGCTGTCGAGGACGACAGGCAGCCACGAGCGTGGGCTATTAAGAAGCGCGGAACAGCGAGAAAAGCAAAGGAAGCGCGGGCGAGTGGTAGGTGTGTGCCTCTTTCCGCGGCGGCCAGGGCGCATCAGTCATCGGCGTTGGTTGCGCGCCGCGTTCAGCCGTGTCGGGAGAGCGCGCGTGCGCGACGGCGCGCACCGCTTGTCGATCGACCAACCGCTGGCACGACGGATCAGCGTAGATTGAAGTCGGTGCTCGATTCCGATGCAAATCGAGAGCAATTCAAAACGATCCGACCGTTTGCCCGACCTTTGTCCGCGAAATAACGGGCTCTCGAGTAGTTCGTCGCGTCGTCGATTCATTACCTCGTAAAGCGAGCCCCGTCGCGAGCAACCGATGTGCCTTGCGACACCTTGCAGCAGATACAGCCAAGGCGGCGCTCACGCGTTGGTCGACGCGAGGCTCGCGGCGCTGCAGCACTCGCGCGAACTTCGCGAGCGCCGTCACGACTGATCGGACGCCTAATCCCGGCAGCGGGCGCGCGCGTCGGCATGCTAATTCAATGACGCAGAGAGGCACCAACGACTGTTGCCGTTGCCCGTACACTTCGCTCGTGTTTTCCGAGAGCGTCTCGAGGAATGCCGACGCGCGATGCATGACATTGCATAATGAGACGCCGCCCGCGTAATGCGTCTCGCAACTATTGCCTGCGCGTCGGTTCCGATTGCGATCACGGTTCAATGGTGCGCGCGCCGAGCTTTGAAATTTTCGTGGTAGGGAAAGAAAGCGCGTTTCCGGGGGCGAACGCGATTCGCCGCAACGCGGTTGCTCGACGATGCTATCTATGTTTGCGGAGATCTCTGCGCGCGCGTCGCCAAACTAATGATCGGCAAGATTATCTTTTCGAAAGCATCTCTCTCCTCAAAAAAGCTCCTAGTTCCTAAAATAGCCGCAGAACGGGGAGAGAGAGAGAGAGTCGCGAAACTCATCGGTCGTACGTCAAACAAACGCGCAGCGCACTTTGTCTTACAAGCGCATCATCAACTTGTTTCCTGCGCTTTTTTT